CCAAATACTGGCGTATATGAAAATCACTTAACCTGAAATAGTCCATATTTGGTTGATTACTTATAAAGTAATATATAAACGTATAAACAATTGCCTTCGTAAATATAAATAAACTACATTAATAGTCTAAGTTTGTTTGCTAGACGAGTATGTATAAGTATATTATGAGTATATTTTTCTTTTATACGTCAATGTGTTTGCTTTGCCACCTTAATTAATTTGTTTTGATTTACGTAAGTATATACTTCATATAGGATGATATGTAACTGCGCATATAACTGTACAAATAACTGTATATGTGTAACAATAATTAAAGCAGAATTGCGGAAAGGAAGATTGTACGTGTTACAGCAAAATATAAAAAGATTATTGGCTGTAAAGTTTTACAATGTATTTGTACACAAATACATAAATACACAGCGTCAAGAATAACAATATAATAAAAATATTCCGCCAAGTAGTTTAATACAGATTATATGTGTCCCACCTGCGACACATACAAATGTAAGCTCATAACGATGACTTTAATTGACTGCGGACGGTAATGACTGCATTCTGCTTTACAACTATTTTTAATTAAAAGACAACAACAATTCAATTTTCTTTTGTACCAACGACTGGTGTTCAGGAATTGAAAAAACAAATCATATATGTGTATTATTTAAAGAGTGAGTCCAATTGCCTTAAATATATTTTTATAGATTGTAAAACTTTGTTACGGCAGAGATCCCACAAATAAGGATAGATTTAAGGGGGTTTTCAATAAGAGCGCTGTAAAAGTTTTAAATAAATTCAAAACGGTTTGGGATATCAATAAATTCCTTTATTCCTGTAAAAGTACATTCGATGCAATTATGTATGGAACTTGATTTATTTTGCATGACCATCACGGGCACGCTTGCAGAAGCCAAGACGTTGAACTGAACTCAATTTCCGACGGTTTTTAAGCATAAAGAATTGTTATTGAACTAAAGTCACAGAGCTTTCAGAAGTTGAGAGTTAAAATTTTAACAAACTTCGGGATCCATTTGCTTATGTCTGCTTCTACAAACTACATGCATACAACTCCCTGTATGTGTAAAATGTAAAAACTACACATACATGTATGTAAAGTGATTTTTTTTTTTTTTTTTTTTTTTTTTTTTTTTTTTTTTTAGATATGTGGTCAAGAATAAAATACATATGATTTAATTTTGTGACCAAGATATTAGTTTGGTCATAAAGATAAGAGTTTGCCATTACGTCTTAAAATTGGTTTCGGATAATTGACCGTCGTGCCGGCTCAAAATGAATTCCAACCAATCCAATAGGCTTAACTTTCGACCACTTTATGTCAGCAATAATGCCCCGAATGTTCTCTTCCTAGGTGTCAAACATCTCGGACTTTTCTGCATAGACCAGTGATTTCACATTACTCCACAAAAAGTAGTACCCCAGTGTCAAAACGCTCGACCTTGTATTCCACGCCACAGTTTCACCACGCGAGATAATGCGCTTACCACATTTATTGCTTCGATAGCACCGTCATTTTCGAATTAGAGGTCATCCACATCCTACATTTTCAAATTCAGGCACGAAAAATTCATTAAAAAGTTTTATTGCGTTTTCCATTGACTTTAACATTATGGTGGGGTACATTTCTTCATTATAGAGAAAAAGGACCAACGGTTTCCTCCGCCGATAGAGCCCACAAAATATTATAGTGAGGATGTATGGGGTCTCCAAAAGGGTGTATGAATTATAATCGACCCAAATACAGAAATTTGTTTATTAACATATTCATTCAAACCAAAGTAATGTTTTAGCGAAAAAAACCAAATTATCTTGTGAGAATCGGTATCGATAGCCATCTGGTTTTGGATTCATATACGGAACGTGCGACGGGCTTGATGGCTATTCGGCTTCAATTCTTGCACGAGTTGAATTTTGTAAGCCAGCAAATCTAGATCTTTCCGCAAAATCTTCCATAAAGTGGATAGGCACAGTTCGAATCGATATGCGCGGTGGCGGTTGGACTCATTTTTTGATACTCTCGTCTTTGCTGCGTGCGTGAAACCAATCCACGTCAGCTTAAACTACCAACTCTGCTAGGAGATTGTGTCGACCCAATATGAGACGCGAAATTAAACCATTATTTTGATAATAAATTTGGATGATTTTTAAACCATGTTCTGGTGTAAGTAAAAAGTATTGTATCATTGAAACTCGTGGTTGTCATCAACTTTCCTCACTTGCGTGAAATTCTACACATGACTCCATCCTCCTCTTCATTGAATACCACAAATCTTAAAAAAGCACCCGTTACATACATGAATTTGTGGTATTTTTTATTTTTATTTTTTTTTTTGTTGTTGGCGCAACAATTTAATTATTAACGTCACATGAAAACGTATGCAAAACAAAGCCAACACAGAGAAAGAAGAGAAGTACAGATTTCAGTTGGATGGTGGCTCTTCAGCATGCTTTGCAAATGTGCATTTTAAACGCCTACACTCTACATAAACCCAGCATATTTGCATATCTTATACACATATATATGTACATTTATGTATATATGTATACACGTATGCATATCTGCTTGTTTATATATAATATTTGCATAGTATGTATATTAGCTAGAAGCTGCGGATTGGTGGTGTGCGCGGGAATGTCAATTTCGCTTGAATTTCCGCTGCCTGAGTGGTGGAATATCGCATGCCGTCTTTCAATTTAAAGCGAAATAATAATAAAAGCTAATGAATGTACGATAAATTCGTTGTTACAGATTGGTTTGCAGAGATTCGCTTATGACATTTAGCATTTGGTGCCACGGGGCGTATAAGTTTCGTGAGTTGACATCCTGTGCTATTTGTCGCAGAATTCAATCATTGATTCGGCTTCTGACAACTTTTTTACTTTTCTGCTGCAGTAATGGCAGTCGGAAATGTCGCAAAAAGTCTTGACGCGTGTATAAATAAGTTTTTCTTTTATCTTGCTTGCTGTGGGGCTTGCTATATTTATAACCACACCATTTGAGTAAAATGCATCATGGTCTCGCGCCTTTAACTTTAAGGGGTACATGAGTTTCCTCCGGTAAAAAACAGCATTTTTCAACAATTTTTTTTTCGTATAAAAAATGAAATATTTTAGCAGAATTTTTTATTGTTACAAACATACATTATTAACAAAGAAATTGTGAAAATTTTGGAAAAAAAGTATTTTAAACTCGGCCATCGCGACGCCATTTCCGGTGACCCTTCGGAAAAAAAAAGATGCGTCTGCATTGGCAGGATAACTCCTTACAGTATCATGTACAATTAAAAAAAAAAAAATACTGTTAACTTAGAACTTGGACGAATGAAAAAATCGGATTTTTCGCAGAAATTTTTACAAAAAAAATTAAATTTTCGCGATATTTTTTTTTCAAATAATTGTAATCGGAAAAAAATCCACAGTCCAAGTCCTTAAGAATTGTACTTCAAAGACCTGTGTAAAATTTCATGAAGATTTGTTGAGGAGTTCTCGAGAAATCTTGCCAACCGGGTTTAAAAAAACAGTTGCGTGAAAAACGCATTTAAATGCGGAGCACTTCGCCTACCTAGCCTCGAGTTCACAAGTTCTCAACGCTGTATCTCCCAAACTAGTACTCGAATCAACTTGAAAATTTATAGCAATATTCTAGAGGTGTTGTAGAATTTAATAAGACAATAAAAAATAGGTTTTTTTGAAACCCTTAAACCCATTTAATTACATAATTTAATTTCTAAGGTTTGATGAATTTGTCCAAAAACGATGAATGTTATCCGAGCTCTGCATAAGGTGAACCAACCATTAAAAAATGGTTTTCTGAATTTCGTACAGGTTATATGAGAACCGAGTACGATGATTGCAGCGGACGTTGGAAAGAGGATGTTTGGTATGATCGTAATGTGAGGTGGGTCTATTCCGCTAATATATAAAGCTGTCAAACAGACCTGTGGTGGACTATAGTTCATTCAAATTTGGATATGCGTCAGCGCTAGACCACCAGAGCTCACAAAAGACCGATTATTGCGTCAGAAATTGATAAAACAATAGGAAAATTGTTTTAATTCGGTTCAGAAATGCTTACACTCCTTTTTATTCGTCGCATCAGTCGCCTAAAGATTATTTATATGATACAAATCGTTGAGAGGCTGAAAATTTTACACTCCTTATGGAATTGTCAGGCATTAAGTTTATATGACATCAAATGCCTATATCAGTCAGATTTCGGAGTTTCCTACAAATGAGCAACTCCTTAGGGATTAACAGGATATATGCCAAATTTCAGAGGTTCTCATTGAATTGGCTACATATTACGATGAGTAAAAAGTAGTAAGGCTAATCATTATACTAAAATTATTGAATTATTCTTCAAAATCTGTGTCGCCCCCCTCAAAGTAATCCTTCTTGGCCTCAATACACTTGTACCAACGTTTTTTCCAATCCTCGAAAAAGTTGTTGAAGTCACTTTCCGGAATATTCTTCCACATAACACCCAAATAGTATTCCTTGTAGACAGTTTGGCCGGTTGGAAGGAATTCGGAGTGATCCACACCTGGATAATCGAAGAAAACTGTCAACATAACCTTCGTTTTTGGGCCGATTGATCGTCTACGTTCGGGTCATAAGTATAGATCCAAGACTCATTGCCAGTAATAACACAATTCATGACATTCAGATTTTCGGAAAGCATTGTTTGAACTGCTCGATTTTCCTACAGGGTATGCAAATATTGGAGCCCTTCTATTCATAAATAGATTTGTTTAATTTAATGTAAATATTTACACACGTGCAAATATATTTGCTTCACCTTTAATTACATAAGTGATTTAGTAATAGCATTGAACAGTCAGCAATTTTTTCGATCTTAGGGTTTGTGTATACACATTACAGTATTGCATAACATACATATGTGCATTTATTATTTACATTATTGGCTTTCTCCTTTCGTATATTTCTTGATGCTCATTCAAACATATTTTATTGCTTTATTACAGGAACAAGTTAAGCTTGACGCCCATAAACAGGTGACCAGTCCAGATGATTTCGAAGATCTCAGTCCAATGCCACAAACGGCCGCCCCGCCAGTGCGACGACGTGGCGGCATCTCAGCCGAGCCGGTCACCGAAGAAGACGCCACAAGTTATGTGAAGAAAGTTGTCCCTAAGGATTACAAAACAATGGCTGCGCTCTCCAAGGCGATCGCCAAAAACGTCCTATTTTCGCATTTGGATGAAAATGAGCGTTCGGACATTTTCGACGCCATGTTTCCAGTTACGCATTTAATGGGTGAGAACATTATTCAGCAAGGAGACGAAGGTGACAATTTCTATGTTATTGATCACGGCGAGGTTGAGGTGTGTACCACAACGAGACAAGAGCATAAAAAATAGTTTCTTTAACTGTACGTTCTAAACTTTGCAGGTGTTTGTGAACTCCGAATTGGTTACAACAATTGGCGAGGGTGGCAGTTTCGGTGAGTTGGCGCTCATCTATGGCACGCCACGTGCAGCTACTGTCCGAGCTAAAACCGATGTCAAACTTTGGGGCATCGATCGCGATTCATATCGCCGAATTCTGATGGGTTCCACCATACGCAAAAGGAAAATGTACGAAGAATTCTTATCGCGTGTATCAATTTTGGGTAAGTTGAGTTGAAATTAAACGAATTAAATATAAATACAGAGGCATAAAGGGACAATAATTGTTTAAATGGTAATTAATTACATAACATATTTTTATATTACAGAGAGTCTTGATAAATGGGAACGTCTTACGGTGGCCGACGCTTTGGAACCTGTGCAATTCGAAGATGGCGAAACAATTGTCAAACAAGGTGAACCAGGCGATGATTTTTATATCATTTTAGATGGCACCGCGGTTGTACTCCAACGAAGAGCTGAGGTAAAATAAGCACAACTACCAATAATTACTCATATATTGTAACTAATTGAATTTTATTTCATTTAATAGCAAGGAGATGAACCCGCTGAGGTTGGTCGTTTGGGTCCAAGTGACTACTTTGGTGAGATCGCTTTGCTGTTGGATCGCCCCAGAGCGGCCACCGTGGTAGCAAGAGGACCATTGAAATGTGTTAAATTGGATAGAGCGAGGTAATTGTGTTTATAAAATTTACTTTTATTTTGTTTATTTGCTAAGTTCTTTTACACATTTTCGTATTAAGCTTAGTAATTGAGTAGTAGACCTAGTGCTCAGCTTAGCGAAACCAAAAATGAAAAGAAAAAACGTCGGCTTTGATTACACCGAAACTTTAATACTCTTCACAAATAAAAAAGTTTCCATACAAAAACTTGACTCTGATCGGACAGCATATTTGACAGATATAATGAGTGTCATTTCAAATCGTACACATCACAAAAATGGATGAAATACTGCCTAGAACTGTATTTAGACATTAAAAAATGAAATAAAAACTATAGTGGTTTGTTTACTATTTGCACTTGTTATTTAACCATTACAGCAAAATAAATTCAGTAGTTAATCTAGCAAAAGAAATATTTCATACTCCCACCTCAGAAATTTGCGTGTCTCTTAAACTCGTACAGGAAATTTGATTGAAACAAATTAGAAAAAATAATAAAAAAAAATCCTGTTTAATATTTAGTTGGGCCGCCTTTCTGATTCAATACAGCTTTTTGCACGATCCAAAAGCACGTGGAACGAGTGTTTTAGCTCGTTGGCCGATATGGTCGCCAGTATGCCGTTGCAAGCCTTTTCCTTCATGGGCAAAGGCATTTTTCCGAAAATGAAGAAGTCGCATGGTGCTATATCAGGTGAATACGGGGAGTGGTTAATGGTTAAAATGTGGTTTTTGGTCAAATGATCGGTCATAAGCGTCGAATTTTTGGTCGTCAGTTAATTTGTGCGGAACAAACCGTTTACACACATTTCGTAAGCCCAAATGTTGGGTCAAAATGCAATAAATTGATGTTTTTGAGATGTTCAATTCCACTTCCWTGAATTTCAATGATGATTTCGGCTGATTTTTGATGAATTCACGCACAATTTCGATGGAGTTTCCGGTGATCACAGATTTTGATTGGCCCACATGTTGATCGTCATTTAAGTCCTCACCATTTCGGAAACGTTGAAACCACTCGTGCACGGAATAAGCAATCATCGCCATAAGCTTGTTTCATCGTTTGAAACGTTTCGGTAAAAGTTTTACCAATTTTAAAACATAATTTAATGTTGTTCGAAGCTTATTTTCGCACCGAAATACACAAACATACTGACACCTAAAACGCAATAACTTCACTTTCAATCCATGAAATGTGATGAAGTTCTCACTGGACAATCGATAAAGATAGCAGATTTTAAAGCACCAGTCCACATATACATAGATGGCGCTACCAGGGGCACTAGATTCAAAAAATTTTATTTACTTTTCAAAGCACCTTGTGGATAACTTCAAAGACAATATCCGTACACATTAAATTCTAAAATTCGTGGTCTTTCAAATAATCAGCTGTACAATTTTAAGTGACGCCACACTTTCAAGCATTTTACCGTGTTGCCAGAATAAAACAAAGGACAAAGAGATTTCCCAACATTTTATTATAATATTTTGTAAAACTATTGGTTGTAGACATATTATGTGAAGAAAAATTCTTTGTATTGGAAATGAATAAAGAAATTGTTAGTTTCTGTACGATTTTAAGTGACATTCACTGTCTATGCTATCGTTTTCCGACCTGAACAATTTCTTCGAAGATTGAATTGTTGTTCATTCTGAATTTTGTGAAGATATTTTGCAAAATAACAAATTTTCAAATACAAGACCTTAATTTTGTTATTTTATATTTATACTCATATGTATCTCCAACTCATCTATTGTGGTCAATACTCGTATTAATTGTATCATTTTTTTTAATTCTATCATATTCTAAATATTTCAATATATATAAATATAAATACATTTTATTTCTACAGATTCGAGCGCGTGCTGGGACTCTGCGCCGACATTTTGAAGCGTAACATCACGCAATACAACAGTTTCGTTTCGCTATCTGTTTAAGGCAGTTAATTCAACAGCTTAAGAGACTCCACATTTACTTAGATCGAAATTTTATGAGGTAGTAACTTTCAGTTGGGAATAAACATGGGATTGTATCATCTTTATTAGACAGAAATTAAATCAACGGAAAAATATCTACCGACTATTACACACGTAAAACTTAAAAAAAAAGAAAATCAAAGACAACAATTTATCAAAAAAATTTGAAACAAAAAAGGGAAATAAACATTTTAAACTCAATACAAAAACTGTGAGCAATTGCAACGTGGAAACGTGGGCTGTTATAAATAGACGCAACATATACAATTGAGAGAAAAAAGTAAACAAAAGCAAACAAAACAAAACAATGAAGAAAACACAGCTTTAGGCTTTCGCATACTTCTAATTGATCATTGCATTCTTCTTGAAAACAACAACAACAATTGCACTTTGCGCACCAAGCATCAAGTGTCAAGCATTTACAAGTTAAAAATTGCAAAAGCACAAAACCATCACCGTCAGTGAGTGTGTGGGTTAATGTCTTGTTTGCATTGGTTTTATTGCACTCTTCGGAAAGTGAATGTGTTGACATGATAAGGCGCGACAGGTGGTCCCAGCTATTTGACGCACCATATAAGCCACTGTGGCTCACAATAACTTACTAAATTTTACTGTTTTCCGATTCCCAATACTTTCAAAGCTTTTAGAATGTACACTAAAATTTTAAAGTTTTATAACTTATGAAATTTTGCTTTCGGTCGAAATTCAAATACTTGTAAATATGTATGTAAGAATTTATTTGCGAAAATATAAATATTTACTGTTACAAACCTGCAAATGTTCCATATGCATTTTGACGTCAAATTGTCAAAAATATTCATTATCGATGTTTGATTTACATTTGTAACGTGTTAAAAATTGTTACTAATATACTTACATATATGTATGTACATGTGTAAACATAATTTCTGTGTATATTTGGCTTGCTATGGGTTCACTTYACTTGGCTGCGCGCTCTTTCAGCAATAAATAACACTATATTACAAACTATTGACATTTCCCTATTTGTGTAGCTTGTTAACGCCCAACTAGCTTCCATGTGTCTACCTATTTCTATCACACCGCTTTAAGTGAATATGAACTTAAATGATAACCGTAAACTTATATCCTAACGACAAAATGCATTTAAGACGGCATCAAACCTTACGCCCGTTTTATGCTTTAACTGTAATTGTTTTGAATTAAAAAAAAAAAAATTAATTTTGACTAAAATGTGGATGAAACATAGACTACTTTTAATGTGAAACACTTGTGAAGAACCCTAAATGAATTGAAAAGTCGTTGAAAGCGACACACACACAAATATCATTAATTTCCTTTTTAACTAGAACATTTTTTAAACTTGTGGCGCACTGACCAAAAGCCACAACGTTAGTGTGTTGAAACAAACAAACAAAAAAAAAAAAAACAAAAAAAAAAATGTAACACTCCGGTAACGGCACAGTACTAATTTATAACAATTATAATAAAACGTATTTAATGATTCATAAAATCAAAAAAGTGCTGGTGCGCTCTCGTTTGTAAACTAAAATAATTATACATCAATCTAAAACACGAAACACATAAATATATATGTATGTATATCCATAACTTATGTATAACAACAAATTACTTATAACCTTACACAATTCTTCATACAGCATACTTACTATTTTGTGTTGAGAAATTGCGTAAAGAATGCTGCATGTTGGCCCGTTAGTTCTACTAACACCAGCTAAAGCGGCGCAACAGATGAACAAGTTGCTGCGTGATAGGTAAAGCACCCGCCGGCGGGTTGAAGGTACATACATACAATGCACTGGCATGAAAATTTTAAGTAAATAAATATGACTATCAAACGAAACGAAATTTCTATATAAATATCTTATATTCGTATTGGAAACTGACAATGACTGAAGGTCATCGCTTTGGCGACTTTCGGTCTGGTTTGTCTTGCGTAACTTAAAAAAAAAAAACCACATTGTATTGCTGTGAAACATTCACCTAGAAAAACAACAACACACACAGTAGGTTATATACATACATGTGAATACATATGTATTGTGCAAGAAAACTGATCTATATACATACATATATACATACACACATATGCAAGTTAAATTTATCGAACATTTATACTATCTAATCATCGTTTGTATTTATAAATATATATATGTATATGTATATTAAATTGTGAACTGAATTGCATATGCGATGCTTGTACTACTGATTAAAAAAAAAGTGTAGCTACTTTAAGATAAATATTGAATACATTTGAATGCTTCGTTGCACACACACACATACGTACATCAATACATACATACATATGTTCATGAAATAAATATATACGAATAAAAATTGAACAAATGCATTGTTTCAAAATTACCGTTATGGTGACTTGCGGATATTTTCAATTTAACGCGTCAATATTCAAAGATATGATAGGATAAAAAATGTCGGTACGTTCCGGTTATGTAGACCCAAATGTCTTGTGTTGATGTTGTTGTTGTTATTGTAGAGACATAAATCTATTGAGTTCACAGTCCTTGGTCGGTTAAAAATCTACGTACGTACGTTCCGGCTATGTAGAACCAACCGTCGTGCGAACAGTATGATCGATGTGCTCGCCTAGATTTTTAAAAAGAAAAATATAGCCGTTGACAGCGTATCCTTCTTAGTTTCATATTCATATACTATGATCAAATTGAAAGGTGAATTGTGTCCATTTCATCTGCTTCCAAGTAATCGTCTCCCGCTGCCATACACTTATGCCAACGAGTTTTGCAGTCAGCATAGCACACGGAAGAATCCTCCAACGTGATGGCCATCAGAGCCTTCTTCGATTTAGCTTTTATATCCTCAATTGTGTCATTTCTGGTTTGACTCCAATTCGCTGAGAGGGAGTTGGTGACGGATTTAATATCTTCACTGTTAATGTCGGTCAGTTTGTATCCGAAGTTTGGTCGGACCGCTTGATGTTCCTAGGAGCCGGCTCAGGATCAAGCAGACGACTGGCTTCTGCGAAAATATCCCAAAACCTGCTTGAAGAGAAGTTCGTTTGTTCATTAACCGAAGTCGGGCCACGCTATGTAAATGTTCGACCGGATACATCAATAGGAATCCTGTTATGTTGCCTGTTTGAGCTCCTGCAGATCGTAAAGGTTCTTTGTTGGGCACTCGATATAGCCGTAGAGGCTACTAGTGCAGTAGTGCGCTGCCAGCGTGGACCCACGTCACTTGTGGTCTACTCCTTGTGGGTCTTAAAAAGAATTCCACCGGGCCTGCGTTGAACTCAGTGCCAGCATGGTTGAGGAGGAATGTCGTTCCCACGACAGTCGGGTCTACGAAAACCGGAACGGATCCGGATTTTTATCCGGCCAAGGACTGTCAACTCGGCAGAATTCTGCCGTTACAACAACAACAACAGGAGGATGCGGAGTAGCCCTGCTCACCGATGAGAACTGGGTTAAATCGCCGAAATAACAGCCCTTCGCCGAATAAAAAATGGAAAATTCTATTAACGTAGAACCGGCTGTCTTGGGAACTGCGGGGACCAATATTAATCTTCGTAGTATTATCTAAAAATAATCTGACAAAAAAATTCGTTTTATTAAGAGGTAATTTAGTGCCTGATCTTTAAAATAGCACAATGTTGGCTTCAAGAAATTTTTTTGCTAGATTTTCGGCAAAAAAAACAGTATTTTTATAAAAAAAAATCTAAATTAAAAGAGTACAGTGGAAGTATGTATACTACTCGTGTTGACCTATTGAATATCATATACATATTTAAAAATTATTATAATTAAAATTGCAGTTATTTGATGTTGAATTTGAAGCTCATGATTATCGGTGACATTTTGGTTTCAACAAGACGGCCACTTCCCACACATCAGAACGGTGAGGACATAATATCAATATCATGTGATATCACACCGTTAGACTTTTTCCTGTTAGTATATATGTAAAGTCGTAAGTCAATATGGACAATCTCCCTTTGATTCGGGCCTTGAACAAAAACATCACGCGTGTCATTTGCCAACCTCGAAATGAATCACCCTTCCTAAGTGAGTGAATATAAAGCAGTAAAAAAATATGGTTTTGTCGAATTTTTTGTATGTAAAACTTGATTCAATTAAGGGATCGTCTCAGTATGAAGTTTCCGAGAAGTCGTGTTTTTTTTTTTGTTACATTATTGGATAGTATACACTACGCGTATAATAAACATAGTTTGAAAATGAAGAATTCAATACTTTTTGTTCAAACCGATGTCATTTTGTCAAATTTCAATAATTTATTTAACTATTATCCACCCAATAAATTAAGATAAAAATAATTATTTTATATTCGTCATGAATGTATTTATTTATAAAGAAATCGGACTGATTAGTTAGAGGCAAATGAAGGTGTGGAAGCATGGTGACGCGCCAAAAAAGGCATTTTAGTGAAAGAACATACAATGATTTCACTTCTTCTTCTTGTAAAAAAAAAAACTAGGTCTTTAGAGACGCTGCAATAACCCTCACTATCTTTTTAAGTGATCCATATCTTTTCTACACTAACAACGTCGTCGGAATGCACAACAATTCACATAGTTAGCATATTTACTATACCTTCTATAGCAGGCTTGAGAAATGAAGTTGCGTATACGTCACGGTAGCCTGCATCAAAATGAAGTAACAAGCCGATATGGGCATTCAATACATTACACAACGAATAAAATCATGCAAACACATTCCGACACTTGTGCTGCTTAACAAATAAGCTTGTAACACCATAAAATTTAATTTAATTTTGCTACGCAACTTCGTTCTTACCAAACCGCTTTTAACTATAGTATTGTAATATGTCCGCTAGCTGCATAGGCAGCGCTCGGCGTTTGCTAGGCATTCATCGATAGACGTATCGATAGCAACGGCGACGAATGCGGAGAACGTAATTACTAGCATAGAAGAGACGATGGCTGCAATGCCGCCTGCGCCGCACCCATCAAACCCAAACGAACAACAACATCAAACACTTTCAATTAAACCAATGAGAGTTCTACGCTTTTCCACGGCCGCCAGCTCGCGGCTACACTCTCGCACGTACACACTGAATAGCGTATGCCGCATTAGTCAACGAGTTTAACCAGTCATGCAGTCGATTGCATATTTGACTTAAAGCAAAAACAATAAACAAAGGAACGACCGCGAATAGTCGGTTCAGAGCATTTGAGTGTGTCACCTCGTGTAACGGCAGCGGCAATCAAATAATATTTTGTTTATAACTTTTTGTATGATTAACGACGTACGTACGCTTTGCGGAGAGTATGCGCTGCAGAATATTCATACTAGAAACAAGACGATCAGTACCGCATTCACAACCGTGCCATTTAGTAAGAACTGCTGATGCTGAGTAGATATATTTTCAAAAATAAAATTTTTATTTAAAGTCATTATTTAAAAAGAAAAACAAACAAAAAAAATCGAAAGAAAACAAAAATCAAAACAATAAAATTTTCTGTAACAACGAACCGCACAAATCCGCACGCCCCACAATGCTGGACACCATCGTTTATATACCAACAATATTGGCGTACGTTTTCATACTACTGCTTGTGGTCATCCTTTGCTTCATTGTGGTCTATGTCAGCCACAGGATCTACGTGTGCATCTACGACAATCTGCCGGTGGCGCATGCGGCCATTTCCACCATAATGAGCATGGAGTACAAGGACAATTTGCCCAGCAGAAGTAACAGCGGCATCGTCTTGAGTTCGAACGAAGCTTTGCACGAGCGAAAGGCGAAAACAGGTTAATTGCACTGAACAAGCTAACGCGTTGCAGTGCTTCGGCATTGTGGCGCCTATTTGTAGCCCACAGCATGCCGCGCCGTCAACCATACCCAACCGTAGGCTGTAAGTTTGCACGGTGTTGCAGCTGTGGCTACGAGATGACGGTGTTGTTATGGCTTTGATGGCTTAATTGTTGGTGTGGCTCAGCGCTAAAAATGTAAAAGCTAAAATATTTCAGTTGCTTGTTTTTTCTTATTGCTATTTTCCCCTTCAAACGTTGTGCCGCTTCAAACGTTGTGCTTGAAATATATGTTTCTTGGATTGCCGATTTTGCAATATTTCCGTGAAAAAATGCAGCGCTGCGTATAATTGTCACTCTCGCACCGTGCTATCTAGCCTATGTGCCTGTGGACACTGAAAAGCACGGCAAGTCCACCGATGATTTCGAATTAAATGCGGACTATCACGAGCATAAAATGATCAAATACTATGATCGCTTGTCGCAAATACCAATAACAGATCACATGTCGTCTTGCGTTAGCGAACGCCAGCTGTATCCAAGTTCACGCCGGGTAGCAAAGCGCCGCGCATCGTCGAGAATTGCAGCAACAACCAGAGATAATGCGCTCATAAAAACTGTGGCCACTTCCACCACCAGGTTAACGCAATTTATCGAAAGCGGCAATAATTTCAGAGAGGTTGCTGCGTCCAGCCTATCCGCGCCGACTGTGCGTCCATCGGTCACCTTCGCGCATGCCATGAATGCGCTCGGCAACATCAAAATCAATCCGCCAGAAGATCCACTTTAAATCATTTGAATAAATTCGAAAATATACAAATTACTTGCAGTCATTTGGACATCAAACACGAATTTATATTGCTCGCTTACAGCAACAATGTATTTACGAGGTTTATTACGGTATAATGCAGTTGAATAACTCGTTTCTATTATTTCGAGAGCGAGACATTTAAAAGCGATATGACCACTTAGCGCTTCGTAAAACAGAATTATAAATATATGTATATATGTACGATAATATAAATATAATAATATTGTATATACTTGAGGTGCATATGCACGCATGCATATTTATAAGAGCGTTTAATGCATGAACAATTTAATTGTAATTCACAGTTTAGATTTTACTCCGGCCGAACACGAAATATTGCCCATCAAAGTCCAACAAACGGAATCACATTCATGTCAGAAATAAGTTATACTTATGAACTACGTTAAGTACACCTTAAAATCACTTGGTAGGACAGTAATAAGTTAAAAACGCTGAAGTCGAGTTAAGCTAGTTTTGGTGCCTTGAGTTATTCCGTGCGATTTATGAGAGACTTATGCTTAGGTGCAATCTAAAAAAAATTATCTTAGCATTAGAAGCGATTAAATTTTCAAAAATAGAGATAAAAGTTTTGTCCACTGGTGCACTAGAAATTAAAAGACTATATTAAATTGACTTAAGCTAGCTTAACATTATGAAAATATTGTATGTAATTGAACTGTAAAGCGCACAAAATTAGTTACAATAAATAAATTATTATTAAAACAAAATATTTTATCTACAAATGTACATATGAATATAGTATATAATATACATAGGCTTCCGGCTTCCGACTTAATCTATGTAAAACATGTAAATACAAAAGTACAAATGCAAAATAACATAACATCACTTTCATAAGTTTACAGGCGAAGGAAACCCGATAAAATAGAAACAAATCAAAAATTGAAACTAAAATTTGAGTTTTGGTTACAAAATGGTTATACAGTGGTTATAAATAGGTTATAAATTGGTTACAAATTGGTTATAAATTGGTTATATACTGGTTATACCTGATAGCGAAAGCTGAAAATTTATTTTTTTTTTATTATGTAGTGAATCGTAAACAAAAGAAAACTTAATTTCGTTTTTTCGAAGATACATACATTGTTTTGTATTTTAGGTGGCGATATGTAGATACCATTTATGACGCCTGCATACAAAGTGTAGTATATATTTGCAAAGCAATCGCCGCTTTAATAATTATGGAACTATAACAAATCAAAAATATATCTTAGAAAGACAATAAATTTTGATTTTTAGATGCTATATACATGTCGTCACCTGAAATGCAAAATAACGTATCATCAAAAAATTCGAAATTGAGTGTCTTATTGATTACACTCACTACTTCAAATTACATACATAACATATGTTCAACATTTCCAGGTTCTGCACTCAGATATAAACCAGTTTTAGCCAATATTAAAATTTTCTTTTAACTTATTTTCCATTTCATTTTGTGTTTCATTCATGCCACCGTAAATTTCCGAAAATGTTGCTGCGTTATATTGCATTTCAGGTGACGATATATAACAGTTATGTTGCCAAAATATTTGTAGAGTTAGAGAAAAATATTAACTTTCTATATACCATCTACATATATAATACCACTATGGTAAAAAAATGGTGAGACTTTTTCATTTAAATTTCAAGTGAAAACACATTCATCGAACTTTCTTTTATAAGTTCGTATCACTCTCAGTGATATCTGTGACAAAATTCACATCAAAATAATCATTAGTGTTTAGTATACGCTTGTCTTTCTGAAGTACATGAAGTGCATTCGGAGACTTTTACGATGAGCAAAATTATTCAACAAAGAATAATTGCATTGAATTTTGTGAGCAGAATCAAATTTCTGGTGTCGAAACGTTTGGAATATTAGAAAAGGTCTTCTGTGATAATTGTTTGTCGTGAGCAAGTGTTTTTTGTTTGTAAAAAAATATTCAAAGAGGGTCGAGAACGCGTTGAAGATGAACCACGTCCAACACGGCCAACAACATCAACTGATGATCAATGCGTCAGTAAAGTAAAGGAATTGGTGTTTTAGAATCGACGATTAACAGTAAGAGATCTAACTGTCATCGTTGCCATATCGGAAGGATAATTGAATACCACGAAAAAAAGTTAAAACACGATTGGTTCCAAAATCACTCAATTTTCGCGAAAAATAGCGTCGCGTTAACGTCTGTGAAACAGTGTTTCCCAACTACCAGGAGGTCATAAAAGGTATTATTACTGGCAATGAGTTTTGGATCTATGCTCTCGATCTGGAAACTGATGATTTCGAGTCAACTGAAACCATTAAACGTGAATACTACTCGCATTGAAGTTTAATCCGTAAATTGACTTTAGCAACTATTTCGAGAATTGGAAAAAACGTTGGCACAAGTGTATTTAGGCCAAGGGGAATTATTTATTATACTTCGAGGGGGACGATATAGAGTTTGAAGAATAAGTTAAGAATTTTAAAATTGTGAACCAAGGCTTACTATTTTTTGCTCTATTAGTTTACAACTAAGCAACTAGCCAACACTCTTGGGCATAATTAAGCTTTATGTATTTATTCTGAAAACGAAAATTTATATACAAAAATTGTGATAGTACTTATATATAAGAGTACATATGTAGATAGACATGCGATAAAACCACATATAGTTAATTCTAGTATTTTTTATAGCCAATATCCATATAATTTTAAACTTAACAACTTAAGTCGTGACTATTGCCATGAAATTTTAAGAATATGTAGACTTTCACAGTAACTAGTCGTTATATATGGTATTTAGGAATACATTTAGTAAAAGCTAAATAAATTTCAAGTAATTTATATTTATATAAACAAACCTTTGTTCAATATACATATATAACGGGTGTTTCCTTTTATAGGTGTGGTTTTCATTGAGGMTCTACTCGGGAACGACGTTTGCAAATCGTGCAAATAGATTACCAATATATAATAATAGTTCGGTTCTCGAGACGCATCCTACTTTAGGTCGATATAATCGCCCAGCAGAGTGGGTAATTCGTGTAACCATGGAACGGTTTCGCACCACGTTTACTCTAGTGGATAATACGAGTAACGTCCGTTGGGTTTAACGAGGAAACTTGCTGACAACAGTCTTACCCCACAGGGCTCAAAAGTACAACGGATCAAATCAGAGTGCTGATCAGCGAAGTGAAAAGGTCATATAAAGCATTTTCAGTACAATTTGGCAATTTAGAATGGACACGGTAACTATATGGGCAGAGTTCGAAGCCTATCCAAAACCTTTGCCGAATTTTATTACCGACGCCCGGTTGCAATTTATATCCGCATTGAATATTTCTATTGAATATTAACCAAAACAGATTCTCCCTGAATTTATGTGCCGCATGAGCAATTTGAAACGAACTCCAAGTGCTTTGGTACCAGGACTAAGTATCCGGATAGACCATGTAGCCTAAACAACTAACAGTTGAGCTCCCATACCAAACCAGAGTTTGAACCCCATATGCACATGACGCGCACACAGCATTCACACAAGAATCTAACATGTTATATATCGAACCGACTCTAACCGACTATTGAAGTTCAAACCGCTGATATCTGATCATTATTGGAAATCCAATCATTCCGAAGTAATGACACACTGACACACTTTCTTAAACTGCTAGAATCAAGTCAATGGGCGGAGTACCTTATAAAATCTGCATCGCAGCCGTAGAAACGGAGCAACATATGGGCATCATGCGACATTGTGCAGAGAGGAGTTTTTTGGCGACCCGAGACCAACATTGCGGCTCCATAAGTGGCACAAGCCACAATTAAGCTGTATGGACTTGCAGTCGCTCCTTCAAACTCACCAAGTGTGGAGTGTTATCCATTCCTTTGAATTGCGTCACCTACCTGACGCGACCTCACCCAATTGTTGGATAGTGAATAATGGGCGTCCTCAGAGACTCTGCACAGTGCGGACCGAAGACGTTATTGCAGCTGTGGAACTGAGTATCAGTAGTTGGACGATTTTGCGGAAGGATCTTGGTTTGCGGGCTTACTATTGTGCCGGGACACGTCCACGATCTTAAATATATTTGCATACCATTTAAAGGGTTCATAAGTTAATTAAATAAGCTCAAAATGTAAACATGCATCAAAAGAAGAAAGTAAATTGGAAGTAAAAATTTTTATTAGTAAACAAACATTACACACAATTAGCATGTGCTTTGGGTTTTTCGAAATATTTGCAATTAATCATTTGTTTCTCGTTCATATCACATTTTCACACATTCCTTCGAGTCATCGTTCGTAGATAACCATATAAATCCATTAATAATCTTATCTACTTACTTGTATATACCACCTATGTGGCCGACAGTTATCGGAATATTAATGGCGTGATATTCATTAAAGATACAAAACACGCCACAACTTGAGAACACTTTGTGAATTTCAATGGGTGTTCATTCGGCAATATTTTTATATACTTGCCAAGCAATTTACAATCAGAACAATACTCATAAAAGTATAAATTTCTTAATTAATATACTCCTACATATGTATGTGCATATGTTAGTATTTATACAATTACTATTTTAAGGCGATTGTAAAAGTCGATCATAAAATCGCAAATGATTATGTGAAAATGTCGCAATAACTGGCTGGGTTCTTTCATACCCGATACTAAGGTATTGGAGAGGTAGTCCGTGTCAGATATTAAACTATATACATATATTATTTTCGAGCAGGAATAAGGGATTTTATGTGAATATAGTTAAATGAGAATTTCTAAAGACCGTCTACGAGCTAACCGAAGGCGATTTCAACGTAGAATCCATCCGAGCGAATAGCAGCGGTTTAGCCGTGTACTCAAGTAAAATTGCAATGATATTATGTGGAAGCCAAATATTGAGTTGAGCGTAGAAAGGCATCGATTGCTTTATATTGATATAGAAGAGCTATAGGGAAAAGGTGGACACTCTCACGAAAGGTCGTGTTTTTGCTACGTGTTCAAAGAGCAGCCTTCATAGGCACCTCTGGTGCACTGCGGGTCGCACCAACAGCAGCACTTAATGTCATTATATACATTGCACATTGCCGGCAGGTGCATCGCCGCGAAGTGCCTTTTAAGACTCAAGGAAGCTGGACATATAAAGATGTCCTGACAAGTTCATGCTGAAATGATCACTTTCTTCAACTGCATCCCTGAAAATTTGTATCACTGCGTCGCAGAGTCTAATCGCGACGGTTTTTTCTCTACTTATATACCAACGAGGGATAAGTGTATGTGGGAAGAATCGCAGTAAACTTTTTCACAGATAATAACTCCCCTCCTCTTTGCATGCACCGACAATCCCACCCAACCTTCTCTCTGGCCCTTGGCCGTCGAAACAGTCGAGCGGTAATATTATTTTGCGCCTTTTTCGAAACTTTCCAATGGGAAATTGAGTTTCTAAAAAAAATTTTTTTGAAAAAAGATTACCATACTGACCCCTTAGGCCAGAATAAGTATATGAAATATATTAAGTACCTTTGCCTTTCTTCTTTCCATAAAAGTATAATTATAAATAATAATAAACTTTAAAATGTGATTTTAAAAACAATTCTTTAATAGGTCTTAATAGGCAAAGTTTTGCTGCTGGCAAATTCTTTGTTGAATACAGAAGAAATGCATTTGAGCATGAAGCAGATGAAGTAGTTTCCGGGCATTTTTTCTTTTGACAGGAGGATAGGTTAAGAAAGAGCTCTCCGTCAATCTTGGTTCTATTCTACCGAACCACTGTAGTATTTTTTACGCAGAAGTGGATGCTAATAAGTTGATGGAATACGTAAAGCTACGAAGTGCAGCCGTTTTCGGAGAGGTGAGCATTCACTCCGACAGCCGGAACTAATAGTGACTGT